TAATCGACATCATCTGCACGCGTTCGAACTGGCAACGGCAGCAAATCGCCGCCTTCTTCGAGGAACAACTGGGAAGGGTGCGTATGATCCGTTGAGAAGTTGGGCACTCAGCGGTACACGTTTCAGGATCTCATTGACGATTTGAAGAGCGAGTTGGGGGGCAACTTCGAAGACGTGATCGTCGCGTTAGTGCGTCCGCCCACCGAGTACCTCTGCAAGCACTTGCACAGGGCGATGAAGGGTGCCGGTACCGACGAAGACACGCTAATCGAAATTTTGTGCACGAGGAACAACGACGAGATACGCGAGATTGTCGATACGTACGAGCAAAGTAAATCTCCCGACCAGAGTTGGGTAGTTATAGGTAATCGTGGGGTTTCAGTGTACGACAGGCCGTTAGCGGAGCAAATGTGCAGCGAGACATCGGGCGACCTGCGCCGTCTACTAACATTTATCGTCACTTGTACGCGGGACGATAGTAACGAAGTCGATTGCGAACGAGCCCGCGAGCAAGCCGAGGAACTCTACGCTGCCGGAGAAGGTCGACTAGGTACCGAAGAGAGTTCGTTCAGTAAAATTTTGGGACACGAGAACTTCGATCAGCTCCGTCAAATTTTCGAGGAGTACAAAAACGTTTCGGGTAATACGATCGAGCAGGCGCTGAGGCACGAAGTCGACGGGGACTATTTAAAAGCGCTACTCGCCGTCGGTAATTTGGAATTGGGGCGCGTTCCGTTAATGTCCGAGTTGTTTTCAGTGGAATGCGTGCAGAGTCCACCGGCTTACTTCGCCAAACGTCTGTACGGGGCGATGAAAGGCGCGGGTACCGATGACGAAACCTTAATTCGTATCATCGTCAGCCGTTCCGAGATCGATTTAGGTTCGATTAAGGAGGAGTTCGAGAGAATTTACGACAAGACGCTGGAAAGCATGGTCGCGGTTAGTGAGAGCGTAAAGTTTATTTTAATCTGATCTTGTACGTGTTTAGCAGAACGAGACCTCTGGCGATTATAAACGCGCATTGTTGGCACTTCTTCGTTAATTAATTAATGGAGTGGACTGGTAAACGTTGACAATTCTCCATGTATACGTTTTCATTATATACCTACAGAAGTATTTTAATTGTTATAATTCAACCATATAATGTTATATTTGTATTCATTATTATTAAAGATTTACATACATTTATTCATTGTGTAATAAAGTTGGTGTTAGACGATGGATCGTAACACAACGTTTTAAGTACGAAATATGTACAGGTGAGTGGTGTAAGAATAAAAATCACAGTAGGAATTTAAATATAAGGTCTCTAATTAGAGGTTTAGCGTACTTAAATCTCCCTGATCCTACGCCAACTTCATATTCATGCCAGCAATGCGGTTATACGGAAGTGAAACCAGAGGACCGAGACAAAACAGGCGGGTTTGCGACTCCCTGTATCTTCTGTTTACGATGTATGCCGTTCGAGTTGCGTAATGCGCCTGCGCAGTTTCAAACACTCATGATCGATTTTGAGTTTGTTATATCCGAAAACGTGGCGGAGAGATTTAATAGCTGGTTCGACGGATAGGGAACTGGAGGTGGTGAAACGCCGTATGGACACCACCATAGAAGCCATCGATAGGCGGAAGGGGGAGGGGGAGGAGTTGAAACTGCTGGGGGAAAATCCAAGGCGGCGGCCATAGTAGGCATGCGAAAACTTCTCCAGATAATAGTAAAGATGAGGAGAGGGGGGCGACGTTCAGGCTGAGCGTTCAATAGAAATCCGATGTAATATCATTTAATTTTTGTACCGGCCTGGTCAACAATAATTTTCATTGTTTAGTTTTTATTATTTATAATTAGAAGTCATCCCTTTATAATGTAAGTAATATAGTGGGTTAAATGGAAGAGTAGAGGCAGTGGGTTTCACTACTGTCATTTGAACTTCGCCCAATTAGTTACACGTTAAATATATAATTTTTATTTTAATCTGTTACATAATTTTGTTGCAAGATGTGTAACTAATAAAAGACATTATTATTATTATTATTATTATGGTCGATGTTTCTTGTGAGAACTCAGGTCTAGCCTGGTTAACTAATCGCACGGATTAAAA